GTCCAGCCTGCAGCCCCTGGCCAGCCCCCACCCCCGTCCAGGGTGCCCAGCCCCCAGGCCCCCAGCTCGGGGCCTGTTTCCTCTCCTGTCCTCGTCCCTCACTTTCCTTCTTTCTCTCCCTGCAAGTGAGCCTCACCCCTCCCCAAATGGGAATTAGAGAGCAGCTAATACCAACAAATTAGGCTGGAAAATCAAAGAAACCCACGGAGCCCGGCCGGCGGCTCAGGGTTGAACATCGACACAGTTCTATTCCCAGTTAGGGCACAGGCCCGGGTTGTGGGCTCCGTTCCCAGTGGGAGGCAGGCAGGAGGCAGCTGATCAGTGATTCTCTCTCATCATGGATGTTTCTCTCTCTCTCCCTCTCCTTCCTCTCTGAAATCAATAAAAATATATTTTAAAAAAACAAACACAAAGAAAAGCACTCACAGGGTTTCTCCGTTTGTGAACAGCGGCACGCCTGCCCCCACGGTAACCCCAGGAACAAGCCAGTGCGACCTGATCGACGTGGTTGAATTGTTACCGTTTCTGCCTTTGGGGGCGATTTTAGTTGGTCTTTGTGTCCCTTTGACACAACCTCATCCTTTTGTCTTTTGATAAAAGATGTTTGTTAAAAGACGACACATCTATAGGGCGTGTTGTGTTGTGAGCTCTGGGTCCCAGCCCCAGGACCAGCGACTCCTCTGGCCCCCTGGTCCCTTCCGTGGGAGAAGGGACTTAGAGACCATGGCCCGGGCCCGGGCGTGCTCGCGGCCGCCGGGCAGCTGTGTCCTGCACCCTCCCCACTGACAGCTGGACGTGTACTACCCCGTGGGCACGCACACGCACCTGTCAGTGTTTCTACATCTGCCCCTGGCCTCTTCATGTACATCTTAGGGGTGTGTTCACTGAACTGTACGAACTGAAATTAAAACGGTTACTCCCCAGGGATGCAAAGCAATGCGACATTTCTTATTTTTTTTCTTTTTTTAATGTATTTGTATTGATTTCAGAGAGGAAGGGAGAGGGGGAGAGAGAAACATCAGCGATGAGAGAGAATCATGGATCGGCTGCCTCCTGCACGCCCCCCACTGGGAATCGAGCCCACACCGAGGCCTGGGCCCTGCCTGGGAATCGAACCCAGGACCCTTCAGTCCGCAGTGACTCTGTCCACTGAGCCACACCAGCCAGGACAATGTAATGTTCCTTACGCTTTCCAGGTGGTTCCTGGAAGCCCTGCAGTACTCCAAGTTTTCCACGGCCAACGTCCTCAACGGCCTCCTCATGACACTGGTCTTCTTCGTGGTGCGGATCCTGCCCATCCCGTCCTTCTACAGCTTCATGCTCTCCGTGGTGGGCACCGAGGCCTACGCCCGCCTGGGGCTGCTGACGCAGTGCTCCTGGGCCGCCTCGTGTGTGGTGCTGGACGTGATGAACGTCATATGGATGGTCAAGATCTCCAAGGGCTGCCTCAAAGTCATCGCGCTCATGCGGCGCCAGAAGGCCAGCAGCAGCCTTCGGAACGGAAAGCTGGACTGAGGTGGACAGCGGCCGGCGGGTGCACGCCTGGCATGTCCTCCTGCCTCCGCGCCAGTGACACGTCACCCAGGGTTTCGGTCCCTCTCTCTCTCTCTCTCTCTCTCTAAATTTTTACCTGTAGGAAAGAGAAACTAAAATTTTGTTTTTAATCCCAAGATTTCCTTCTTGATTTTCTTGTGGCCCCTAAGCGTGGACGAAGCGGGAAGGTTTAAATAAAAGGTCACGCGGTGTGGGTCTTTCCAGGGCTCCGAGACCGGCCTCGCATTTTCCCCGCGAGGCTGGCGGGCCACGCGCTTGCTTTCCCGTCAGTCACAGTCCCGCGGGGGAGGGGAGCCGCC